TATGTGGGTAGATGGATTTTTTTCACTCCATGTGTTTGGAGGAATTTCTGCAAGTTTTGAAGAAGTAGAAGTCAAAATCCAGGACCAACTTTCTTCTGTCCCTAAAAAATAAACAGTGGAGGTAGGACACTGGGCTAAGTCAATGCTAGTACGATTTATAGGGCAATCGCTGTATTTAAATGAACGCAGTTAGAATGTATGTCTGGGCAGGGAGCGGGAAAGCTTACAGAACTCTGTCACTATCAGAATAGCCTAATACTTGAGTGGGCAAGGAGTGAGAATGATTGGCTGAATTGCTACTAGAAATGCGACGACTGCAGGTTTGGAACATTTTTTTAAGGTGAGCTTTAAACATCTCGCCAGCAAAAGCATAGATCACGGGGTTCAGGCAGCAGTGGATGAAGGAGATTGATTCGGTCAGCTGCAGGGCCAGCGCAAGCCTTTGGCTCGTCTCGCAGTCGTTGATGATTTCCAAGTTCTGCAGAGAGTCTAGAAAAAGCACAATGTTGAAGGGAGCCCAGAAAAGGAAAAAGACGACCACGATGATGAAAATCAGCTTGATGGCTTTGATCTTGTTCCGGTTTTTGCAGCTCTGCAGATTTTTCAGGATGTGGGAGTAGCAGTAAATGAGGATGCTGAGCGGGATCAAAAGGCCCAAGATGTTGACTTCAAACTGAATGAAAAATCGCCAGGTCTCTTGGCCTGGAGGATATTTGGGGACACACTCGCGAGACTGTTCAATTTCCACTTCTTGGTTAAACGCCATATTTGGTATGGCAGCCAGACCAGCCGTCGTCCACAGGAGTAAGCTTATCATTATGCCACAAGTGGCTGTCCGAACTCTCATAGCATAGACAGCATGAACGACTGCTATGTACCTGTCTATGCTCATGAGGGTTATAAAGAAAATGCTACTGTAGAAGCCTATGTAATAAATGCCAGCCATCATTTTACACACTGCATTTCCGAAAATCCATTCTTCTGAAGCATAGTGAGCTTGAAATGGGAGGGGGACAACAAAGAGCAGGTCAGAGATTGCAAGGTTGAGCAAGCACACATCGGTCATGGTGGTGACTTTCTTCCTGGTCAAGAGTACACATATGACCAAGGCATTTCCTACTAGGCAGAAGACAAACACCAGGCAGTAAACTATTGGAAGAAACAGTGATTTAAACCTGCTGAAACCATTGCCTTCACTGCAAGGAGAGGTACCTTCATCATACACATAGTTATATTCTGTGGTGTTTGGGAAAGGGCTTGTAAGAGTCATCTTGAAGACCTGTGCACAAAAAAGAGATAATTAATTGATTATGGGTATAGAAGGGTGCAGAAGACTGCATTTTGCCATTGTTACTCATGCTGAATGAAATCAATGTGTCTGCTTGAGGAATAAGGTACTGATCAGTGTAAAGGCTTGTCGAAACACAATTATACCATTTTAAGTAAACTGGTTAGATAAAGCAGTGCGAACCTCCCCCGCCCTCAGTATTAATGCAGTTATTAGCTTACTCCCATACAAGAAGGAAAATATGCTATATCAGTAGAATATGCACCTTTACACTATCACTGCAACAACAGCCCTAGGGGTTAGATCAGAATAACTCTATTGGTTTAAAAAAGAATGCACCACTAACTGACATAGTTATACTGGTACAAACATTGTGTGGAAGCCAGCCCTAAGCATAGCAGAATCCAGGTCTCCATGTATTATAATAAAGAGCATTTTTCTGAGAAGATATATAGCCTCATAAAAGTCAGAATTTTGATTGGACAAACCACCTGTTGGCATTATATCTCTACCTAACAATTTTTACCCAAGCTGAGCTGCAGTCTTTTGTCTTAGCTCAGTTTTTTAGTTTTGAAAATCAAAACCAATTTTGGTGGTTTCTCTCTCCGTAATGTATGACGCATTCCAGTGAGTACAATTTAACAATATTATTGCCAGGATTTTCAAAAGTGACTAGTAATTTTTGGTGATCAGTTTTTGGGTACTTCAACTTGAGACAACTTAAAGGTGTTGGATTTGCAGAATGTGCTGTACACCTTCCCTTTAAGGAGGACCTGACACATCAGGAAAAACTATGAAAAGCAATCAATTTAGTAAGAACTTTTTTTCTAATTCGTAAAACATTTGCATTTTTCTTGCCATAATCTTGAAAAACAGATTCTTTGTTGCTTGAAGGTTCATCCAGAACTTTGAAATACGTGGATAAGAAGAGCTAGGCATCATTATTATTTTTGACATAGATCATCCACTTTTGAGTGGGTGGGTGGGGAATATTTAGGAGGGGACTCAGAGGAAGCAGATCTCCATGAGGATTTTCTTACAGAAACCTACACTGTCCTGTTGGGGAAGTGGGGGTTGTCCCTATTAACCTGGCAAATTCCCTCTACCTCTGCACAAGCTCTTTCACCATTGGAATGGGGCTGCACCAAAGTGGGAAGATCTGGTAAGGGAGAGTCCCCTTTGTGCCAGGTCCGGAGGGAGGGGACGGGAAATCAGGACTGTAATTTACTATCTAGTCCCTCTGATGCCGTCATTCCTCGTCCAAATACTAAACCTTTCATGTGGCGTCCCATAACAGTCAATCAGCATGTTATGTACAGAGAATCTCTTTCCAAAAAATAAAGATCTATTTTCATGCGAAGATCTTTAGTTAGAAATAATAAAAAATGACAAATGCACTGGTCTTCTATGTTGTCTAATCTTAGTCTCTGCTATAATTCCAACATAATTAACGTATCATTCTATAATTGTTTAATATTTATAAAGCAATAGACTTATGTAGAATAAATATGCCATGTGAAATAATATATACATATAATTCATCTGAATATGATCTCATTTACACCCATATAATCCAAGAGCAATTTTACTGAAATGAATAGGAGATGCAGGTGCTCAGCATCTCTGAAGTTTAGGCTATTGTTATGCTGCTGATACCCTCATCTCATCTTTATGACTTCGAAAATTCACTGTTTTCCATGGAGGATCTCTTCTCCCTTCTCCACCTCAGTTGGCCTAACAATCAAGTAGAAAAAGCATTGCTGTTTAGATGATCTAGAGACAAATATCTCTCAAGGTGTGCCTCCCCCTTGTCAACTGTAGTTAGTTAACTACAGTTAAGATGACAGTATATTT